CTTTGTGAACCTCCATGCTCCGTTAGAGGCTCTGGCTGTTGCGTTGTTTGCGGTTGTCTGCGGTTGTCTGCGGTGGTCGCCGGTCTGTCCCTCCATTGTGATTAGAGTATGCGCTTGTTTCTTGACGTGCAGAATTCTTGGCAGGCGCAGCACTTTGTGAACCTCCATGTGAAGAATTCGTGGCAGGCGCAGCACTTTGTGAACCTCCATGTGCAGAATTCGTGGCAGGCGCAGCACTTTGTGAACCTCCATGCTCCGTTAGAGGCTCTGGCTGTTGCGTTGTCTGCGGTTGTCTGTGGTGGTCGCCGGTCCGTCCCTCCATTGTGATTAGAGTATTCACTTGTTTCTTGACGTGCAGAATTCGTGGCAGGCGCAGCACTTTGTGAGCCTCCATGTGCAGAATTCGTGGCAGGCGCAGCACTTTGTGAACCTCCATGCTCCGTTAGAGGCTCTGGCTGTTGCGTTGTCTGCGGTTGTCTGCGGTTGTCTGCGGTGGTCGCCGGTCCGTCCCTCCATTTTGATTAGAGTATTCACTTGTTTCTTGACGTGCAGAATTCGTAGCAGGCGCAGCACTTTGTGAACCTCCATGCTCCGTTAGAGACTCTGGCTGTTGCGTTGTCTGCGGTTGTCTGCGGTTGTCTGCGGTGGTCGCCGGTCTGTCCCTCCATTGTGATTAGAGTATTCACTTGTTTCTTGACGTGCAGAATTCGTGGCAGGCGCCGCACTTTGTGAACCTCCATGTGCAGAATTCGTGGCAGGCGCAGCACTTTGTGAACCTCCATGTGCAGAATTCGTGGCAGGCGCAGCACTTTGTGAACCTCCATGTGCAGAATTCGTGGCAGGCGCCGCACTTTGTGAACCTCCATGTGCAGAATTCGTGGCAGGCCCAACACTTTGTGAACCTCCATGCTCCGTTAGAGGCTCTGGCTGTTGCGTTGTCTGCGGTTGTTTGCGGTTGTCTGCGGTTGTCTGCGGTTGTCTGCGGTTGTCTGCGGTTGTCTGCGGT